CAAGCGTGTCAATACAGGAGACAACTCGGGCGCGCAGCGCTTTAGTACAACCGCTGGTATACCATCAGGCCCACTAGCTTTGTCAATATCTAGGCCTCGCATAGTTTTTAGGACCTCCTTATTAGTAATGCGAACCTCAGGCATAGAGGTACCGCAATGAGGTATCTGTGGTGGAGTGTTGTTGTCAGAGTCTAGACGCGAGTTTTCGGCAAAGAGAGATGCGAATAGGTCCGCTTTCTCAATTGCCGCGTGGGCCAAGGAACCATCCGGTCTTACCAGCGGAGGCAGCTTAGGCTTACAGAAATTGGCTTCGACCGCTTTGGCGAGTGACCAAAATTCTCTACTGTCCAAAATATATGTCTTATGCGGTCGTTACCAGCTTTCTACAATGCCTTCTTGTAAGACTTGGCGGCTAGGTTAAAGGCTTTCTTCTTGGATTTTATATCATGAGCTTTGCCGTGTCGAGCATCAACCCAGGCGAGATATGCCGAATGCTTACGCTTTTCTGCTCGAACGCATTCAGCGTTATACCATGGGCGAGTTTTGCCACCGTCGGGCACGTCACAGAACAGTATGAAATACTCCAAGCCTTGACGCACCACTTCGGCTATAGCGTCCGCGCAGCTCGACGGATCTCCAGAAGAAAAGCAGACCCCACGCCAAGGATAACATGCAAAAAAGTGTCGCATCTCATCCCAATCTGCTGACCTGTAACGGCATAATCAACTTTCACCTCTTGAGTCCTGATTGGGAGGGGAATGGGACGAAACAGATTTCACCAGAGAGTGATACCTCAACTGTGTACCTGTCTGGATCGGTTGTCAGCAGAAGGTCCAGGCAATTGGCTGTGTGACCATCGACATGAGGCACCCTAGTGGCTTGCTTCACCAGTTGGGAGAGGCCAAGAGATATAGCAAAATTCCAGGCCTCTTGATGACAGGCGTTAAAGTCCCCCAGAAAGACTAGCTGCGCATCAGGACGCCGATGTGACACTTCATCAGCAGCCATGCTGAGATGTTCAAACAGCCGAGTCGTCTCCTGGTCAGCGCTGTGCGATCGGTAGACACAAGAGTATAGAATTTTGTCCGTATCTATGTCCACCAATACCCTAGTAATGATAGTGGAGAGAGTTTTGACTTCAAATTGATGGAGACGCCGACAGCAGATATCGTTTCGGGCATGCAAACAGACTCCGGCACGAGGGTGAAAATTGTGCTCCAATGTGTATCTAGGATAGTCTAGGTATGCCGAACTGCCCCTCCGGGGCCGTGAGACGACCCCTCGGGGGTGGCATGGCTCCGGGGGGGCGGTCATCGGATCACTCATCACACACACATACATCACACTTACGGACACACTCGCATACACTCACACACTAGCAGTCACACACATACATCTTCACTCATACACTAAACACTAACCACAACTACATATTACATAAATACTTACCCTATTACACTTACCTTTCCCCTCCCCCGTCCTGTCAGCGTTGCTTCCATCCCTCTCCTTGGAGAGGGTACCGGATGCGGTGCTGGTGGGCCGGGGGGGGGGGACGCGGGCTTCTTGTTCCTGGTGGGCAGCCAAATTCCTGTGCCTCGGATCTTTCCGTGCGGACCGGACGACGGGTCTCTGGTGGCGGGAGCATGACAGTGTTCCCGTACTCGAGGTCTTGAATCCGCGAAGGTTACCTTCTCGCCTTGCAACCCTGTTGGTTACGATCGGCAGGGAGGCTCGGAGAGCTGGTAGCGAGGAAAACCGAGGAGTCGGCCGGCGTACGCTGGTGAGGGAATTTTCCATCTTGCTCTCTGGTAGTGGGGCCGTCGGGGCCGGACTCCCCACACACCCTTCGGTGTGTGGAGTGACCGGGCCTCGGCGGGGCCACTATCAGAGTGCGACTAAGGAACGGAATACTGGTGACTGGTTCGGTGCACGCTGGGCTGGACATTGGTATCCGGGGCTATCGGGGTGAGGGATTCACGAGGGTTCAGCCCGTGTGAATTCCCTCTCTTAGACGGGCTAGGGTGGGAGATGCTCAATTGCGCATCTCTTGCCTTTGACAGGGGGCAAGTCTGGTGGGTTAGCGCGCTCGCCAGGCATTGCACGCTCCTTGTCCTGTCTGGGGATGGACTCGAATGTTCCTGAGCCCTTCCCTAACCCGAGACGGGACCCGCCCTGTTAAAGGGGTGGGTCGAGCGGGGACGGCATGCGCGGGAAGTGGTCCCGTTGGGGACCGTTACCGCGCGCTGATCCCCCGCAGTGAGGGACATCGCTGAGTTTTAGTGGGTAGGCCCCTGCTCTTTGACCAGCCCCATTCTGGGGTTGGTCCGCAGGGGAGAGTCCCACATAACCCGTGGAGCTCGCGCTGGGTGAAGCGGGTATGCGGAATGCATTTCTCAGCGTTAAAAAAAAAAAAAAAAAAAATGGTATGCCGAACTCGATGGACATCCGATCTGCGTCTCCATCAAAAAGAGCAAGTGCGGCTTTTCAGTCTCAAGACGTACAGATAAAATCAAGTATAGATTGATAACACATACCTTGACAAAGTATTGTTTAATACAAAACAGTATATCACATCGGCAAAATATTTTTTCACCAACAAAACACGATAATTTCACTACGGTGCTCGCGTACTTACTGACAGCATGGTTCGGTCGCGTTTGCGGCGCGCAGTTGCCGTTGCAATTTGTTGTAGGTGTAGAGCTACTCTAATCGAGGCCTAAAAACTAACAGCGTAAAACCTTTCATTCGTATGGAAATGTCACAACAAGAGTGATTTGAATAGTACAATCAATATAACTTCTATCTTCAAATAAGGGCATATTCTTTTTCTTTTGTTTTAAGTAGATGTTTTAAAATGTAGTTACTTTAAGAATGTTTTTAAAGCAATCAAGTAAAAATGATGTATCGTAACGGCTACTGTATTTACATATCTGAAAAATGGTGTAAGTAAACTAGCTTTCAATGTTCATCCCTAAAGAATGTCGTAAGTAAGTTAAGTTTGAATTTTAGTTTCGTAAAGAATGCTGTAAGTAATTAAGGATTTAAAATCACCTGTTTGATATTTGCTGTAAGTAAATTAGTCTCAAAAACAGCATTTTCTGGCAGACTTACGACAAAATTTACACGGTTAAGTTCTAAAAATTATCCCTCTTCGACGCAGATTTTTTTTCTGATTCCGACTGTGTATTTAGTACACTTACGCCATTTTAGCTACTTACAGCAATTACGTTTTCCCCCGTCGATATGTGTATCCACAACTCTAGACATAGGATACTATATTTTAGCGACATTTTGACGATAGTTCGTTCAATTTTAGCAGGCCCAAGGCGCGATTTATTATCAGTGCACACACGTTTACGCTGATGGATTTAAGCTGCAAGTCACTATTTCCACTTAAATTCACTACTGAGGCGCGACATCTTCTTTATATATTATTACGGATAAATTCCGGCGATCGAAATTAATAGATAAAATAGTTCTATTAACATCATAATCTGTAAATTGATTTTAAAAAAAGGGAGCAATGAGAGTTGACATATTAGAAAAATGACGCAGTTTTAGCCTTACGGTTCCCATTAATAGATGAGGAGGTTGAGAAAAAACGATTAATTGTTATTGTTGAGAAATAACAAAATCAAGTTTATAAGAATCACAGCCATGTAATTTGCCAACTTCCAAACTTTTCCAGGGTCAACATTTTCAACAGAGTTATGAATATGGGGTCTTTGACCATCCCTGATTGTAATCAGGAGCGTTACTGGCATGTATTCCTAGCATAATTGTGTTTTACCTCATTACGCTTCGAAGAATCGAGTTTGAATTTCGCCTTGGCCCTATTTCTCCGTATTATTAACACCCGTATCGCCTCAGTTAATCAAAGGGCTGGAAGATGTTCGATTTTGATGGGCCGAACTGAAATATGCCTGTCATACAACTCAGTGAGGAGCTTATTAAAAGGCTCAACTTGCTCGTCGACGGAGTCAGTATGAAAAATAGCTGACCAGTCTTTGTTGGCAGCATCATAAAGAAATTGGTCCTGGTTGATACCGGTGAAACTACGCTGAAAACAAAAAGTCGGTTTCAGTTTAGGAGGGCGAACCCGTTAAGATAAGAATACCAAGTCATGATAGGAAAATGCGTTCGCAGAATATTGCCCATGCTTAAAAGTGAAGGAAGGAGAAGAGACAATAATAAAGTCTAGAAAAGATGGAGTGCAATTGGGGAAATTATTATTATTTTTTTTTATTTATTTTTTTTTATAGTTAATTTTAATTGAAGTACTATAGAACACTCCTATGAGAATTTTGGAATCAAAGAAAGGTAGGTACCTCAAGAAAGAGATGCTCGGCTCTATTAGAGTGGGGTGGCTGAAAAGATCTGGTTAGCATAGAAAAGTAAAGTAAATGTAAATAAACAGCTAACCCAATCTCATTTATTTAAATAAAAACTTTAGTTATTGAAAATAATCAATTTAGAATTTGTACTTTTCTTATTTCAGAATCCGACCGTAAGTATGTTTATGAATGAACTATGTTCATTCACATACATACATACTTACGTTAATTTCATTGAATATCAATGTTCAATGGACATTAAAAAAAGGGAATAAACACAGTAGTTTTTACCTGTGACGTAAAAATTACTTTTCTTCTAAGTCTATCATCTTAACAATTCATTTTAGTATAATTAATATTTAGTTCTGAAAAAGATCGGGAGATGTCGCCTTAATTATATGATATTAATATGTGAACATTTACGACGATTAGGTATATAAGTACCTAAAAACAAAGAGGTTTTATAATTTCGAATAAATGCAATGAACAACTTTGTGACTAGACTTTTATATACATATTGTTTTCTGATTACAGGTTTTCATTTTGAAATCAATATTTGCCGCAAATTATTGAAATAAAAAACTTAATTATGATTTTAAAGTATTTTGGTTTGTCGGTAATTAAGATAAGTTTGAATGTAGTTCTAGTAATAAAAATCATGTTATAAATTGCATTATACGATTAATTTAATAAAATTGTACAGCCAAATAAAATTAAATCATTGATTACAACAGATAACATCGGTTGTGTGATTAAATAGAACAGAATTGATCACCAACTTGAAAAGCGAGCTCCAAATCCAGAATCTGGCCAACTTGAAGAGCCACTATTGTAACCGCTTCCTCTGAATCCTTGATTTGGATTCCAACCGGCATTACGTCCTAAACTGTTTGACAATCCACTCCAACCATCGGAACTTCTAACGAATCCATTTGATCCGTCCCAACCTGCATTAGAACTCCGAAATCCTGAATTTGCCCAACCAGAGTCACTGCCGGAGCGGCCTCCTGCTGACTGTCTGAATCCTGCGCCACCGAACGATCCATCCCCGGTTCTTCTGAATCCGGATCCAGGCCACGAGGTGCCAGAGTTTCGTCCGGACGCAGAACCTCTCCAACCATTAAAGGAACGCGCCACACCTACCGACGGCAATCCTCCATCAAATCCACTACTGCTTTGCCAACCGTGACCACCTTAAACATATCAAATACATATAATAATTAATAGTATTAAAAACTTTTATCTAGAAGAAATATCAAGTAGTTTTTGTGGTTAAAAGAATAAAACGGGAACCCTATTAATAAGACATCGCTGTCGGTGTATCTGTCACCAGGCCTTTTCTCATTAACTGTGAAAGTTAGACTGTTGAAATTTTCACAGATGATGTATTTCTGGTGTCGACTGAACAATGAATATAAAAAATCAGAATAAAATAAATATTTAAGGGGTTTCCATACAACAAGCGTGAAATTTTTGCTCGTTTCCGGTAAGGAACCCTTCATGCGCGAGTCCGTATCGCTCTTCGCCGGTGGTTTATTTCATTATCATCAGCCCTTTTACGTCCCCACTGCAGGGGCTTAGGCCTTCCTTAAAGATGGTTAAGGAGGATGGGCCAGACCCTCCACGCTGGCCCATTGCGGATTGGAGGGTATTAACGACTCCATATGCAGCCGGGACCAACGGCTTAACATGCCTTCCGAAGCACGGAGTAGCTCGAGATAATAATTTTTTGGTCACCCATCCCGTGACCGACCCTTGCCAAAGTTGCTTAACGACAACGATCGCGGGCCGCGGCGCTTGTCCACTTAAAAGACTTTTAAAAGAGGTTGCATATATTCGCACTCATAAAACCTCCTCAAAGCCGTGGCGGCATTACGATGAAAAATCATTGCGATTGTCATTTTCATTTTTTTCTCAGTTTGCTATAATTGAAAAATACATTGATCTGCTAGTTTTTATAGATACAGTGGATATTAGTAAAAATTATACGCACAAAAATACCTGCAGAAGACTATTTAAATTGGTGCTCATAGTACGGTAAGTACATAAACTTCACAGAAATTCTTTTTCCTTCGTTCTTCTTTTATATTAATTTAACCATATAGGCATAAAAACCCGCGTGATGGCGGTTATCTGCCGTTGAATAGAAAACGCTATGTGATACTGTGGCTTTTTGATGTTTTATTTATGAATGATTTTTGCTTTAACGCTGTATAAATGCTTCTACTGAGTCAAATGGTAGCTCACCGAGTGCTACCGGACGCCGGACCCAAACTGTTATTGAATCCTGTATCAATTGGCATCTAAGTTTTTACAGAATCGTTTATACATTAACATACCAGGAGATCTCGTTTCTCGGCTCCCCATGGCTACTGTGGTTATCGCCATCAAAACCAAGAAGGTTTCACGAACGGTCTGAAAAGTCCAAACTATTATATAAATATTACACCATTTCAACGAAATTAAATACATTCAGTTCAAATTGGTAACCTTCTTTTATTGAAGTCGATCATAATATTAATATATTATGACGAATCGATAAAATGGGGTAATTTTACCCCCAAATTTTAGCGATGTACTAAATAGAAAACTAGTTATGGATCTTAGCGTAGTCACAATAAGTGAGTTGCGACAAAAATAAATAAATAACAAATAACAATAAATACATGACGAATTCTGAAAACGTCGCGCCAAACCTTTTTCTTGTTTATGGCGGACCTTCACGGTATTTTCGGTTAGTATGGCCCCACTATGGACCACAAATTAATGCACGCATTCTGCAGAATCATTGAAATGGCCGCTTTTAGTTTCATTTTCAAAATCAAAATGTTATTTTTTAGTAATAAGTCAAGTTTTTACTCTTGAAAAAAGACCTTCTTGTCTAGTTTGTGACATACTAAAATGAAAAAAAAAAATCCCCTTAAATAGGAAACTTTTTGTACTATAATGACGGAGTTTTGATAAGAAAAAAATAGTATAACTAATAAATATTTACCAGTATAACACTGTGAATGCAAAATTGTTAAAATATAATATTTAAAAAAGCTTTTTTAAAGACTTTTCATTATGATTACGAAAGTCAAACGTGTGAAAGCCATACCGATAATAAACCAACACAAATGAAGTATCTAAAAATAGCAAATTATTATATCTAAGGTTTATATCCAGATTAAGTAAATGAATAGGAAACATGACAGGCTAGCATGATAAGATATATAGTCATTGTCATTGCTGATATTGATTTTTAATATTATTTTATGACTGAGTTCATTCATTTTGTCTGAATTCATTTTATATTAAAAAATAACTAAAAATTTCCAGTTTCTAAAATAGCACGTTTAGAATTCTGAATGACAATTAAAACCCAGACACAAGTGTCAGCCAAGATTAAAACAGTTAGATAAATTCTAAATTCGAATCCGAAGCTTTGGTTTTATTGACTTTAAAACTATATAACAAAAGTTATATTTAAATACGAAGAACAATAATTAATGTTTGGAAAACTCACCATTTTAAAATCTGCTCGTTGTTTGACGATGAAGATACTTTTGGTTAGTTTATATAGGCACCACTATTCTATATTTAGATACTGCACTCATATATGTAACATAATGGCTGACAATTATATTTCTCATTTGTAGGTCACGATTTTGTACGGACCGAACAGTTGAGATGCTTGTCCTTTTTTGGGGTCATAAATTAACGCCTATTACTTAACATAAAGAGATCTGTATAAAACCCGGAAATACCCACGACATTTATCTGCTTCACGTGCTGCAATCAATCAAAAAGACAAAAAGATGGTCAATTGCATACTTTGGTCCCGTGGATTCCTGATGTAAAAGTACTTGTTATTTTATTGACCGGTGGTAAATGAGCGTATCTTTCACGTATTAAGTAATATCATTTTTTTTTATTCTAGTGTTGAAGTAACAAGAAAACTAGAATTTTATTCATTTTGTCAAATTATCTACATACACGTATTATAAAGTTCAGTTTCCAAATTTTTCAAATTATACATTTTTTTTTTCAATGTATTCAATACTGTATGTAATTTATGGTTTAATATTAGTGCTTGTCGTCAGTTTAATGTTATTTGTTTTGTTGGGGCACAGGCCTTCCCCATACTGTGATAGGAAAATGAATCATGATTACGACGTAGGTCTTAACGTTATTCTCTAAAAAAGTCTGCTCAGAACTCAATAACTAACATTTCATAGTCACAGCATAGGTGCAATCAAATAAAACCGATTTCCAGTGGATATAATTTAGTTTTTTTTTTATTGAACCTCTTTGTTAAGACAGCGCAATGCACGGCTGCTTATTTTGTTATAGAAGAGCAATAATTGTACGGTGTTTCGTTCCTAACGATTTTGTGACGGTGCGTTGTATCCGTATGCAAACATTTTGTCTATGATCTTCAACATCATTTCTCATTATTATGCCCCTTTCGTAATTTGAGTAATCCAATATGCTCTTTATGAATGTCAGTTCGTAAAAAAATCGTCTTGCGAGAACATGATAATGTAATTATATTAATGTAATAATAATTAAGTTATAATAATATAAATAAGGGAAATGTAAAAGTATATTTTCGTGAAATATCTCCCAAGTTCTACATATTACGGAAAACCCAGAAGCGGGGTATGTAACTGCTCTATTTAACTATTGTCATTATATATTTAGGTAATCATACGAACTGTTTTTATATTCATGTTTTTGTTTTTTACAGTATTTTCTTTCCTTTTATTACCGTAAATAAATCACTTTAGACGGATTACTTTAGATTGCAGATCAAACTTCATTCTTATTTAAAACTAGCTTTTGCCCGCGACTTCGTCCGTGTTGTATAGTTACTTTGGGCAGCATATATTTTCCAAAAACGCCGTTGTTTTTCGAGTTGATGATGAAATTTACTTGATGTTTAAGTTCGAAGATACTACAACAAAAAAACAACAAATATCCAATATGTTTTAGCACTTTGTCTTTGAAAACTTCAGAGATATTAATCCAATCCAATCCAATTTGAAATACAGATGGAAAAACAGTTCTGAAGTTTACATAAAACTAAATCGAAAACGTAATCTACGCAAAAAAAATTAGAAATTTAATTATTTGCTGAAATAGCTTGTTTATTCGATATTTATATATGATCTCTTACTCTTGCCGCCCATATCGTTAAACGCAAATCGTTAATTGTTCTGGCTAGGCCACATCATGCTGTGGGCAGAAAGATTTTACATTTCATAAAATACAAACATTTTATGAAATCGCTGGCCGCATCATGAATTGGTAAATTTTACAATCTGGCCACGACATAAAAAACGGTTGTTGTGCCTCACGACATAGATAGGTATAGTGTATCGCGGACTTTTTTGTAGATATTTGTAAGATTTACAATTAATTTGAACATTTTATGGGTCTATCTATTATATCTAGTTTAGCAGCGTACGCAAAATAAATAACTTTTTTGTAACCCTATTTTTTTATAGACTCTATGTTAGTCGTGGATAATGTAGCTTTAGAATGGTGAAAGAATTTTTGAAATCGGTCCAGAAGTTTTTGAGCCTATTCATTACAATAGGGATGATGACAAATTTTTGTTTGTTTGTCCGTCAGGTAGAGTGTTAAAAAATATTAAGCACGTATTTTTTTGTTTTTTTCGTTATCATAAAATTACGGCGTTACATCGAGTTGAAATTTCGCATGACGTCACGTTAGAGTACGTTTTCTACTCAACTGTGACGTACCGAGCCCCCACTCCTCAACTTTAATGCCTATTATCTAAGCTATTTTTTGTTAAATTGAAGTAAAAAAAATACGTATCTAATATTTTTCTATTATCTGATTAACGGACTAAATAGAATTGCATTTCTTTTACCCAGTCATCATCCCTATTAAACAAACATACAAACAAAGTTTTCCTTTTTATAATATTAGTATAGATATAAAAAAAAATATTTTTCTTTCGTAAACAAAATTACTTGAATTTTTAAATTTTATGCATTAAAATTTCACAAATATGATATTTACTCAAATATATCGCTATACATATGTGCATTGAATCAGATTGTAAACTATGGTTGCTATGGTAACATTTTGGTTCCCCATAAAGTATTTTACTCGCATTTTTATCCCTTTAAATGCTAGTTTTCGGGATAAACTATTACGTTCCTAGGATTGTAAACTAGCCAAATACAAATTTTCATCGACATAGGTCCATAAACAAAGAAGTTTCATACAAAATTTCTCACCCTTTTGACCCCCTCGGGATTGAATTTCGAAAAAATCCGTTTTTCATACAACTCTACGTATTAAGGGAAATGTTCCCTCCGAATTTCAAATTTCTACGACCAGCGGTTTAGGCTGTGCGTTGTCTGTCAGTCAGTAAGTCAGGACATTTCTTATATATGTATAGATTAATTGAGTTCTTCCATTTAATGACGATGTGAACAATTCTATTGCTAGAGTGGTACATTGGTTTAGTGTAAATAAATTTCGATTTTAGCGCCGCGGCCCGTGATCGTAGTCGTTAAGCAACTTTCGCAAGGGTCGGTCACGGGATGGGTGACCAAAAAAAAATATTATCTCGAGCTACTCCGTGCTTCGGAAGGCACGTTAAGCCGTTGGTCCCGGCTGCATTTGCAGTCGTTAATACCCTCCAATCCGCATTGGGCCAGCGTGGAGGGTCATGGCCCATCCTCCTTAACCATCCATAAGGAAGGCCTGAGCCCCTGCAGTGGGGACGTAAAAGGGCTGATGATGATGAATAATATGCCTAAAATTAACATTGACTAGTGATAAACAGGTAGATATAAATATGAATATAAAGAATAAGGACTCTGTAGGTACTACAGTATTTTTAGGTATTACTCTGGACATCAAGCTTCAACATTCAACACATTCATATATTGTCGAATAGACTTAGGCTAATTAAGGAGAATGTACATAACCGTTTTTCCAATATATCTACAGTTTATTTATTAATATAAAAAAAAAAAAATTTTTTTTATAAAAGTTAAAATAAAAATGTTCTACTAACAATATTTATGGAATCGTATATCATTGCAAAAATTGTGCGATGATAACTTATTTATTCTGTATAATATCAGCAATAGGTATCGTGATATCGATTAGTGATGCATGTAAACAATCAATTATTTCAGACACAGCTTTTGGGAGACGCGATTATTTTATATAGACGTATAATTAAATCTGTTTCATATTAACATCACGTGATTGCTTCTTTATATGTAAAAAATATATCAATTAATTATGTAAAGATATGATGCGTCATAAACGGTGTGAAAAAGCACGAGTGTTGAATAAGACCTTTACTAGAATGCTTTTCGACGATGTTAATTATCCATTTAATATCTATATAACATCATTTTAAGGGTTCCTTACCCATAGGCTAAAACGGGGGTTCCCTTTTTACCCTATGGGTAAGGATTAGACAGCGAAGTCTTAGTAATAGTAACTAGTAATAACTAAGACTTCGCTGTCTATCCGTTTGTCACAAGGCTGTCCGAGAAAGTGAGACAGTAAAAATTTTCACATATGATGTATTTCTGTTGCCGTCAGACTAAAACCCGAATAAATTAAATATTTATAGGTGACCCCATGCACCAAACGTGGTATGTTTGCTTGTTTTTGCTCGATATTGATAACGACAATAGGTAGACGCAGACAGAAATATTTACAAAATATGTATTTATATATTAACTTTAAAAATAATAATGAATTTATTCCTATCGCAATCCGGACGGGTGAAAGGTCGTGGGTTCAAGTCGCATCTCAGAGTACCTGGTGACGGTGGATATTTTAAATATCTTTCTGGTATTCTGATCTGGCTGTTATGATGATTGTCGTTATCTCAGAAACTTCATAATACAGTGGCCTTAGCTACTCATCTTGGAATCTGAGCAATGTATGTGATGTTGTTTAATATTATTTATTTATTATATTCTAACTTATCATTAGGTTAATCAAACGTATATGATAAGTTGGCCTGTAACAATAAAGTTTTCGCTGTCTGTCGGCACGTTGCGAACGGACGTTTAAATCCTTCCGGACCCATGACTATCTCTTTGTTATTTTTTTTAATAGTTTAATTTTCATATTTTTGGCATTTGAAAACCTGTCTGACCCGACTTTGCGACTGCCACAGGTGACTCTCATTATTATTTTTGTACAATATTAATTGTGAATATTAGGAATTTCATAATGGTGGGTTTAAAATGAGTAGCTCAGTGGCGTAGCGGATAAGCGCCGCGGCCCGCGATCGTAGTCGTTATGCAACTTTCGCAAGGGTCGGTCACGGGATGGGTGACCGAAAAATTATTATCTCGAGCTACTCCGTGCTTCGGAAGGCACGTTAAGCCGTTGGTCCCGGCTGCATTTGCAGTCGTTAATACCCTCCAATCCGCATTGGGCCAGCGTGGAGGGTTATGACCCATCCTCCTTAACCATCCATAAGGAACTCTGAGCCCCTGCAGTGGGGACGTAAAAGGGCTGGTGATGGTGGGTTTAAAA